ATTATTCCAAATAATTACCGAAAAAAAAAAAAAAAAAAAGAAAACCGAATAAAACATACGACACTCGCACTTAAAGCAAAAAAAAAACTGTCTGAATTGCAGCCCGTTCTTCGAGAGGATATTTGCGGAGCACCCCTGCAAACATCCGGTGATCGTGCTAAAGGACTTCCCCGGCCACGAGGTGGCGGCCCTCATCGACTTCATGTACCGCGGCGAGGTGAGGGTCGGCCGCGAGGAGCTGCCCGGGCTGATGAGGGCTGCGGAGAGTCTGCAGGTGCGTGGACTGGTGTTGTCGGAGCCGAGGCCCACGTCACCGCCCGAGACGCCGACCGCGGACCTCCTCCTGGGCGAACCCTCGACGCCCGAGGGGGCCAGGCAAGGGACGCCCGAGGAGGACGACAACGCGTCCGAGAGCACGGCTCCCCCGTCCACTCGTGAACAACCACCACCTGTCACGACACCCACCATCTTCCACCCTGCCAGGGACCATCGTGATATGTTGCCGCACATGGGCCACTTGAACTTTGGGATACGCGAGTTGCGTGAAACTTGTGGATCCCCGCTTCTGCCGCGGCGCAAGCAGGCACGGCCGCGGAGGAGATCGGTCGAGCTGGTGCCCCAAGACCTGAGCCGACCTCATCCACCGCCCAGCCTCAGCCCGCCCGCGAGCGGCCTCGATCTGACCGGGTCTAACAACAACAATCATCTGCAGCAGCAGCAGCAACCGCAACAACAACAACAACAACAACAACAACAACAACAGTCTCAGGGTCATCGTCCACAGCGGGAGGGAAGCCCGCTCGGAAGGACAACGCATCCGTATCAGCAGCAACAGCAGCAGCAAGAATCTCCACTCACACCGCAACAAAGCTCCGTGACGCCGATATTCCCGTTGGACGGTGTCGTGTCTCTGGGTGGTGGACTGTTCCCTCACGTAGGTGCCCTCGACAGGGGATCCCTTTTGGCGGATCTCCACGATAGCTTTAAACCGGAGGCGCTGCACGGACTTTTCGGCGCGGCCAGCCTCGGGGCCCACCACCCGGGTAAAAAGCCAAAGAAGCACAGGGGCGATGGCGACGCGGCGCACAGGTGGGGCGACCACAGTAGCCGGGGCCTGCCGGTGGGAAGGCCGAAGGGGCAGCACAGCGCCCCCAGGGGCGGGCCGCCCAGGTCTTGGACAAACGCGGAGCTGACCGAGGCGTTGCAGCACGTTTGGAACAAGAAGATGACCACGTCGCAGGCAAGCAGGATATTCGGCATCCCGTACAACAGCTTGTTGATGTACGTGCGGGGGAAGTACGGGAAGAGTTTGAAGCTGGAACAGCTGAGGAGGGACTGCACGGGGGCCACGACCGGCGAGGTGGTCATGAATTCGCTTAACAACAACGACAAGGCCGTCCAGCCGCCCGCTCAAATCATCCACCCCCTCGCCGGCCTGCCCCCGCACCCGGGCGACGACGCTGGATTCCCCCATCACTCGTTGCTCGCGGGCAACCTGCCGCACGGTTTCTTCCCCGACTTTGCCCCCGCGGAAGCGTTGAACGATCGTTACTCGTTTGACAATCATATTCGATAAATCGAACCGACGCAACTTGTTGTCTCTTTTTATTCTTCTCTTTTTTTTCTTTTTCCTTTTCTTTTTCTCCGCCGATCTCTATATTTTTGCGATACAATAGTTATATATACGTATATTATATATATATATATCTATTTATTACAAGCGTTATTGTGTTATCAACACAACCGGGTTTATTCTACTGTCGCCAATGTTTTCACCGATCAGGAAGAGAAAGAGAGAGAGAGAGAGAGAGATTGACCAAGCAAAATGTATCTTTCTCGCTGCTACCGCCCCTCCCCCCCCCCTTGTTGGAGCTTCCAATTCGATGAATTATTTCGAACAACTGTTTTAATCTTTGACCCGAAACTAACAGAGGATGTTGTTCGGTTTCAGTGTACGAGACTCGTTTTTACTTTTCATCCCCGATTCCAGAAGCGACGAGAGAGTAACAGGCCCAGCAACAATTACGAACGAATTATGTCAATTTCACGTGGAATTATGTTACGATCGAGAGAGATATATATATATATATATATATATGCAACGAGTTTGCACAATAATCGCACACGCAGGATCGCAAGAGCTTGCCAAGATTCTCTGTTTCGTCCTCTCTCGCTGTGGAAGCTACCAGTTGACCTGGTTACACGACTCGTTTCCGATATTCGGTGCAATATGTGTATATATATATTCACATATACAGATAGATACATTTATAATTGTTTCCTCGATCGTTGTTAATTTTTTCGACTTTCAATATAACAGTTTTTTTTAAAACTCGATACAAAATCGGCCGATTTTTGAGATTTCGAGAAAAAAATCGACCGATGACGAAGACTGTGAACCTCGTAGTTGTATCTTTGGTAAAAAAAAAAAAATCGATAAAAATCTTGGCGAGCTGCTCGAAACTTTGTTCGGTGAGTGAGTGTGAAGAGGGGGGGGGAGGAAGAGCAAAAAGAAAAAAAAAGAGAGAGAGAGAGAACAGAAAGAACGAGTACGTAAGGAGGAGGAGAGAAAAAGAAGAAAGAGAAATAAGTGGAACAAAATTCGTATTTAAAACACGGGGACAAATGATGAAATTTTAATCGTAGACCACAATTTCGCAAAAAAAAAAAAAAGAAAACAATATTTCGACAACCAGACGGAAGCGCAGGGTAACTAACACATCAGGGATAGCCACAGACAAATCTACGATAGATAAAGAGAGAAAAAAAAAAAGCTAACATATTAAACTGTAAAAGTAATGGTAATGATGAAAAAAAAAAAAAGTTAACGTAAAGCTAATGATACATTTACAATGATTAATTTCGTTAATGAATCTTAAGAAAAATGAAAAAAAAAAAATGAGAAGAGCGCGGGTGATGAAACGGTAGGAAACGAAGAAGCGAAAGATGGTTAAATTCCGTTATGTCACATAATACCTTGCTATACAGCTAGCGAAAAAAAGAAGAAGAGGGAAAAAGCGAGATTAAAAATATATTATTAAAGAATAACTTAAGTAGAATATAATGATGGGAGAAAGCGTATGGGTTCAACAAGGTTAAGTAAAAAAATATTAGAGAGACCACAGGCTTTCAGCCCCCAAAATAGCCTGTACAATACAAACTGATATTATTATTGATTATTAATATTATATATATATATATATATTATATATATATACAGGTGTTTTAAAAGAGTTTATAACTGCTTCGACGGGTTATACCGCACGTCTAACCTCATATTGTACAGATAATTATATATATCACGATTATATATATATATATATATATTATATTATATATATATATATATATTCGTTTCAGTTATTTCATTCGTTTGACACAATAATCACACTCGACAATTGACAATAGAATGTTTTTGAAATTAGCTCTAAGCATTAATCTTGATCTTTTCTTTTTAATCTCTTCTTCTTTCTTGTTTCTTAATTAATAATAAATAACGGTGGCAAGCTACCATGACCAAACGACAAATATTGTTAATATTTCTACATTTACAGAGGTCTACGCGTAGATGCGTACCGTTACGTTATCTGTTTTCCGTATCTCGCAGCATTC